TACCTGCTGACTCGATGCTTTTATGCCATTTGAGTGTAATCTCCCACTGCTAGCTACACGTGGTTGTATTAACAAGCCTCGATCCCTTATTCATGTGATATCACCTGGGTGGAGTGTTCTGCCAGTAAGATATGAGCCAAATTGATTAATGTAAATGTGCCACTGGAGACCAGGTTTCCCAGCCACTGTATAATAGCAGGAGATCTCTCGAAACAGGATCAAATACTTTACACTGAAGGTACACTGAACTTAGCCTGGCTTGAGTCTTTACTCTGCTGACTCCAGGAAAGACACTTCTGGAGGCAGTCCGGATATTGAAGTTATGACTCAACATTAGTAAACACCCTGAAGAAAATTTTAAAACTGCATCATTTATGAGAACTAAGTCATTCTCTAGCCTACAGCAATAAGTGGGACTATGAACAAGATAAAAAGGTTTCATTTTCACTCTGGGGTAAGAGGAAGGAAAGGGTATGAGTCTTTATCGATCTTTGGTGGAGTAGGTTGGGAGAAACTGTTTCCACTGATGGCAGGATCTGTAAAATGAGGTCAGATTTAAGGTCATTGACAAAAAGACCAGATTGGAGTCGATGAGAAAGATTATTCACTGAGATTATAATAACCTGTAGTGCACTCCCTGATAGAATGGGGGAAGTAAACTTGATGCCAACTTTCGGAAAGGGTTGAATACTTGAAAAGCAAATATGCAGTTGCTTGTTAGCTCACCGGGCAGGTTGTTCTATGGTTTGCAGACATTTCATTATCATTCTCGGCGACATCATCAGGGTGACCTCTAATCGAAGCTTCGATTAGAACAGAGATAGTAGGAACTGCAGATGCTGGAGAATCCGAGACAACAAGGTGCAGGGCTGGATGAACACAGCAGGCCAAGCAGCATCATAGGAGCAGAGAGGCTGGCGTTTCGGGCCTAGACCCTTCATCTGATGTGTTCATCCAGCCCTGCACCTTGTTGTCTTCGATTAGAACATCTGCTTTTGATATCTGTGAAAATTATGTTGAGTGTTTGTATCTTCTGTTATTTTGGTAGGACCTTGGCAGATGTCTGCTTTAGTCATTTGTCACTTCTTGCCAGTTATCTGTCTCGGCTTTGTAAATCCACTTATATGTTTTTATTCATTTACGTGTTACTGTAATGTGTTGAGGTTGTGCTTCTATATTTGTCTCTTGCAGCAACTGACCGCTGTGCACAGAAATAAAGGTTCCATTTTCTTGGTCAGCCTCTGAAGACCCCTTAGGAGAGTGACAGCGAAGGAGGCGGGGTGGGAGCAGGAATGGGGAAAACTTGTTTGTGTTTACTTGAATGGGAATGGTTAGTGTTCCTCAAATCTCAATCAGGAAATGATTTGGAACATTTCTGAGAGCCGTGGTAGGTCTTCCTTCCTTGCCTTTTCCATTCTTCTGGAGAGTGCTGATATATCTTTCTGGCATTTTGCCAAAAGGGCCTTTTTTCATTTTTAGTTTCTTCTTGGATTGTGCATATCAGCTGTGGGGCAATATTTATTATCTGTTCTGGTTTCCATGCAGGCATTGAGCCAAACGCTAGGATAATGTTTGCCGGATTCGCTCTCTGAATTAAATGGGTTTTTGCTGCCTATTTATCTGGCACTGGGACTGCAGATTACCAGATTTCTTGAAGGCCTTTCCCTGGCTATGGTGGGATTTGAACCTGCACCTTCTCAGTTACTGTTTTGACGCCATTATTGTCAGGGTACTGTGCCCATGTGTTGGGGAGCTGTTTATTCAATCTTCATTTGCATCCTTTCTGAGTCAAACCTGCTCCTGCCCTAAAGTTACTACCAAACAGGTATTACTGGGTGTCAGCTGAAGTGGGAACCCAAGCACGGTTACAGCATATCCCCTATCACTGGCTATGTTCAACTGATAGACAGTAGGTTAAGGAATGAAGTTGGAAAGTTTTTGGAAGAAGACCATTTGGTCTATGTTGTCTCATTGTTCGAAAGAACTCGGGTTCAGACCCGAAACGTCAGCTTTCCTGCTGCTCTGATGCTGCCTGGCCTGCTGTGTTCCTCCAGCTCTACACCTTGTTATCTCAGACTCCAGCATCTCTACTATCTCTGTCCAATTGGTCTGACTCCCTTGCTGTTTCTCCATGGTCTTGCCATTTTCCCCCTTTAAGGTTTTATTCGATTACTCTTTCAAGGTTACTATTAATTCTGTTTCCCGTTACCCTTTTCAGATCTTCATAACTCACTGCATAAAACAACTTACCTTCTTTTATCCCTATTTCTCTGGCTCTAATGCCAACTTCCTTAAGTTTATGCTGTCTGGCTACCAGAAGAGTGTTCAAAGAGAGAGTAGTGACAGATGGAGTTTAATTTGGATAAATGTGAGGTGCTGCATTTTGGAAAGGCAAATCAGGGCAGGACTTAAACACTTAATGTTAAGGTCTTGGGGAGTTTGCTGAACAAAAAGACCTTGGAGTGCAGGTTCATAGTTCCTTGAAAGCGGAGTCGCAAGTAGACAGGGTAGTGAAGAAGGCATTTGTTATGCTTGCGTTTATTGGTCAGTGCTTTGACTTTAGGAGTTCGGAGGTCATATTGCAGACGTACAGGACATTGGTTAGGCTACTTTTGGAATACTCTGACCTTATAGAAGTTTATAAAATCAAGAGGGGCATGGATAGGGTGAATAACCAAGGTCTTTTCCCCAGAGTAGTTTTTCCCAAAACTCAAGAGCATAGGTTTAAGATGAGAGGGGACCGACTTATAAGGGACCTAAGGGGCAACTTTTTCATGCAGAGGGTGGTGCATGTATGGAGTGAGCTGCCAGAGAAAGTGATGGAGGCTGATACAATTACAACATTTAAAAGACATCTAGATGGGTATATGAATTGGAAGGTTTAGAGGGATATGGACCGAATGCTGTCAGATGGGTCCAGGTTAATTTGGGATATCTGCTCAGCATGGACGAGTTGGACTGAAGGGTCTGTTTCCATGCTTTACAGCTCTATGATTCTATGATCATGGTTGTGTCTGCTTTAGCAGCCCTTAGAGAGGGAGCACCTAAGTGTCTGTCGACATATCCTTCTGTGATCAGTGCTACTTTTCAAAATTGAGGTGCATTATCATCCCTCAAAATGACATTTTAAATTCAACTTAATAAATTCCCTTTGAATCTCACTCATTTTGTTTAATTTAATTATTTTTGAAATGGTAGACAGAACTGACCGTGGAGCTAGGTGTTTATCTCTCTAACCTGCATACGATCTTTTCCAGGAATCACTGCAAAGGCTGTGAAATGTAATTTTTATATTTATAACCATCCGTCACACACAACTTCACATAGGTTTATATCCCTCTTAGAAAGAAATAATGAAATTTTTTTTTTGCAATTTATAAATTCAGACACTTTAGATGCTGAAGTGATGTTTGCTCATGTGGGAAGACTTGAACTCGGGGGCACTGTTTAAAAATAAGGGCTGTCCCACTTAAAGTGGAAATGAGGAGAATGTTGTCTTGAGCATTTGGAACTGTCTTCCTGAGAGACTGATGGAGTTGGGCGGGTTATTAAAACTTTTTAAGGCTGACGTAGGGAGGTTCTTGGCTAACAAGGAACTCAAAAGGCATTGGGCTAGGGGTTGGAAGTGGGCTTGAGAACGTTATTGGATCAGTTATGATCTTATCAAATTGAAGCCCAGGTTTGAGGTGCTGAATGACTTATTCCTGCTCCTAATTCCTATGTTAGTAAGTTTTTATTAACTTAAATGATTCTTGATTGTAACAATGGATTACATTAGTTGCCACATGATAACTTCAAAAGTAGAAGTCTCTTTACTGACTCTACTGTATTGCAATCGTATTGACTTTAAGATTGTGAAGGTTTCTACAGTAGCCTGGTGTAAATAACTACACTTCAGGCTATAAGTTAAACATTCACAAAAACAATATTCTTAACGTGAGTTAACTGTGCACCATGTGTGAGTGACACAAAATCAGATCCAGATGGTATTGTGGCTCTAAGTTGGAATGTAGTATTATTTCAAAGCAGCATGGGTTTGATGAAGATTACTTCCCATTTTAGAATTGGTCCTTTGAGTATCCGGAGATCTTTTCAGTTGTTCAGCCAACTTTTCTCCCCTCATTTCCTTAAAGCACTGACTTATGCTGGGGTGTGTATGCAGATCACCCTCTGGTATTTCCTCTAAGATTCTTGAACGTGGGAAAAGTGGACCATCCATGCCAAGCTCAAACTTGTTCTCGCTTGGCTAATTTCCTCCTTTCCTTGATTGAGAAACCTAATGATAGCTGTAGTATTCATTCCAACAGAGAGCAGACAAGGTATTGTATTTGGGGTTTTTTCTGCTCGGTTAAACTCAGCTCCTCTTTAATGTACACAGCCATCGCTTGGTTGAGAAAACTGAACACAACTTTACATCTACTAAAAGTCTTGTTTGTTTTTCTGGCAGATGGCAAATGTGAAAATGTCTGACCCTATGTATATAAGATTTTTCAAACAAGATGCATTAAGTACGCACGCAAGAGAAGATTTTTTTTGTGTTTAAAAAGAATTAGCATCGACTCTGAACAAACTGCCTAAAGAGCTTTCAGTACTCAATAGTAATTTGGTATGAAATACTTGCATTTCGAAAAGATTTCCTACCCAATATAATAGATTATCTTCTTTGGTAAATGCGAGAATTGGTTTTTCTTTTCGGAGGTGCATTTGGGATGCAGGAGGGTTAATGTAATAGGGTGGTGAGAGTCATAAAAATTGGGAGAAAAATATGTTTTAAAAATGCAGCAATCCTTCTAGAATTGTGGCCTGAGACTGTTAATAATCTGAGACAATGATTCAAAGATGTGCAGCAATTAAAACAAAACTTTGAGTGCATGTCTGTGCTTGGAGCTTTAGTGAGTTGTTTAAAATAGGAAGAATGTACAGTGATCTGTGTGATGGTGATAAGTGAGCTTTAATTGTGTTGGAATCACCAATAATAACCTTGTTCCCTTCTCCCTCAGACTGAGACCTTTGTTTGGATCAATCAGGCGTCTCCACATGCACAGAGTGTTGCGAAGGCTAAATATCAATTCTTATTTGGCACACCTGCAGAAGACAACTCTTTGGACAGGGGTAAGATTGAAATAAATAGGTTAATTAGTCTTTACAGTTACAGATACAAGCCATTCAGTCCACTGACTCCATGTGGGTTTTCCATGGACAGCAAAGCAGTCAGTTCCATTCCTCCACTTTACTGCCATGGTATTGAAGGTATAGAACCGTAAGACTGGTAAATATAGCAGCACAAGTAAACCATTCAGCCCATTGAGTCTGCACTGTTATTCAATGAGATCATGTCTGATCTGATAATCCTCAACTGTACCGTCCAACATTTTCCCTTTCAGTCTTGAATAAAACTCTGTCTATCTCAGCCGTGATTATACTTAATGACCCAGCTCCAACAGCCCTTTGTGGTAAAGAATTCCATAGATTCACTACCCTCTTAGAGAAGAAATTCCTCCTCATCTCTGTCTTAAATAGGTGACTCCTTATTCTGAGATGATGTCCTCTCATCCAGGACTCTTCCATAAGTGGAAACAACCTTTTTGCATCTATCCTGATTTTATATGTTTCTATAAGTTCTCCTCTTGTTATTTTAAATGCCAGTGACTCCACAACCAACATGCTCAAACTGTCCTTATAAGATAGTCCCTCCACGCTTGAGATCAGCCTAGTGGACCTTCTCTGTATTACCTTCAATTTCAGTGTATCTTTCCCTAGATAAGGGATCCAAAGCTGTTCTCAGTTTTACAGCTGTGATTTGATGAATGTCTTGTATAGTTTTAGCAAAAACTCCGGACTTTTATATTCCATCCCCTTTGAAGTAAAGGCCGACATTCCATTTCCCCTACAGTGCCTATCCAGTTTCCTTTTGAAATCATTATCTTCACCCTCTAGGTCAGTGAGTTCACTGACTGTATAAAAAAAGTTCATCCTACATCTTCCTGTACCTCTTGCGCAATGCTGACGACGACAAATTTATTTGGTCATTCAGCAGAACTTTTTTTTTGCATACTCTGCAAGGAAATCATATTCAGCCCATGAGCATTGTTGTTCTTGTTGAACCAAAGGCAGATTTAAAAGTAAGTAATCTTTAATTTTCAAGGTGTAGATGTTGTTGGTAACGTAAATATCTATTGCCCATCCTCTGTGACCCTTGAGAAGCTGGTGGTGGTCCTTCCTGAACTGTATGGTTCAGATGCTTCACCCACCAGTCCTGTTGGATATTTGATTCCAGGATTTGGACTCAAGTGGTGATGAAGGAAAACTGCCACATATCCAAGGAGAGATGGTTTGCGTAGTGACGGGGATAGCATTCCCAAGCACTTTGAAAGCGTCTCTAATGTATACCCATCTTCTGTACAGCTATCAGGCGTAGAATGTGTTGATGCTCAGTGAAAGTAGCACAATACTTTTAAGTCTGAAAATTGCCAAACTCACTTAGAAATACTGTACTCTGAACTGCCTGTTCTAAGCTGAAGTATGTGTTTGAACCATCTTTATCTTAGTTTAATTGCTCACTCAGCAATTCAGTCTAAACAGAGACAGAACTTTGCACAAAACACATGCCATTTGTTTGGAGAGTATTGACTTCTACAATATCAATTTGGTCTTCAGGAGATAGTTGGTAGGTTGTATAAAGAAAACCAGTGAAGAAATAATAAGCAATGAGGTTAACCAGGATTTTGGAAGTGATTCAGGGAGTGACTGTAAACGCGTTTACTCAGATTTGCCATTTGTTTGCGGCTGAACATAAAAGGTATCATTTTCTACTCTCCATAGTTTCCAAGTCAGTTATTAACTTGGTGTCAACAGTGAAAAGATGCATTTTTAGTTATTAAGATTGATGGTGGATATAACCTAGTTGAGGGATGCTGCATTATTTAATGGAATGGAATCGCAGAATGGTTATAGTACAGAAGGAGGCCATTCAATCCGTCATGTTTGTGCTGGCCCTCTGCAAGAGCAGCTCAGCCTGTCCCACTCCCAAATCTTTTCCCCAATGCCCTGCAAATCTTATTAAGTAATTAGTCAATTGGCTTTTCAGATACATGATTGATTCTGCCTCTAACATACTCTCAAGCAGTGCATTCCAGACCCTGATTACCGATTGTGTAAAAAAAAAACTTCCCCTTGTTGCCTCTGGTTGTTTTGGCAATTACTTTAAATGAATACCCTCTTGTTCTCAATTGTTCTGTCAGTTTTCTTTTTGTTATTATTTCACAAGATGCTGACATCGCTGACTTGGTCATTATTTATTGCCCACCCCTAATTACCCTGTAGGAAAACAGCAGGAACAGCAGTTTTTCCCCTGTTTGTTCTATCCAGACTCCTCGTGATTTTGAACACCATTATCAAATCTCCACTCAATCTTCCCTTCTCTAAGGAGAAGATTCCCAGCATGGCCAGGCTGTCCGTGTAACTGAAGTCTTTCATTCCAGGAACAACCCCTCGTAAATCTGTTCTGGCCCTCTCCAATGCCTTCCTAAAGTGTGGTGCCTAGAATTGGACTCATTGCCCCTACTGATTCAGTACTTTTTTCTGAAGCTGTAATAATCCAGGGGTGGGATGCAACTGTTGTGGTAGTGTCCCTGCCCTGGACTGGGAGGCCTGGGCTCAAGTCCCATCTGCTCCAGAGGTAGCCCCTGTACAGGTTGATTCAAAAAATAAGGAAGTTCTGTCACTTCGATTAGAAGTTCATTCTCTGAGTGTTACTTTCCCAAATAAGCACTTTTGACCTACATGCTCTTGTTCACTTCCAGAAAGAATATACACTATTACTGTGTTTCAGAAGCTCCTGAAGCTCTACTGTTGACTGATTTTGTTTTTGATGATTGAGCAGAACTGTTAAAAGACACTTAACATAAATAAAATTGAACAGGTTAAATTAAAAGGCAAAATAAATTAAAAGCGTGTAATAGAAAACTGAAATGAAAACAGAAAGTGCTGGAGAAACTCAGCAGCATCTATGGAGAAAGAAACAAAGTAACCTTTCCAGTCCGATATGACTCTCCTTCTGAAGTGGACTTCTCTCTATTTCTCTCTCCACAGGTGAGTTTCTCCAGCACTTTATGCTCATTTTAAAACAAACAGGTTAATGCTTAAATCTACTGAGGATGTTGAAAATCTGAAATAGAAACAGTTAATCCTGAAAATACACAGGCAGTATTGGTGGGGAGAGGAACTGTGTTAACATTCCCAGTTGATCACTTATCAGACTTTGTTTTGATATGGAGAGATACCCGATGTCTCTCCGATAGGGGACCGTAGGTGCCTGTTGTGCTGTTCCCTCTGGTTATTGATGGCTGGGATACAGATTGAGCTGAAACTGCCTGCTAGAGTGCCCAGGCACATTTTACCATGTGAACTTGTGATACCAAAGGTGAACAGATGGAAACAGCCAGTTCCATTAGGGCAAGGTGCATAGCAGTAGCTCCTGTCATTGACTCCCGAATTAACATCTTACAGAGTTTGTGCGTGGAGTCTCAAAGTCGGTGAGGTAATTGACTCTATGAAGTGTATGTAGCTGTCTCGCGCAGTTTATATGAACGATGCTCTTACACATGGTGTCAGTGTGTGTCTCAGTGTGTCTTTTGTGTGCTAAACTCCCACTCCAACCAACTTGAGGAGAAAAATCGCTCCCTATGCGGTGCTGAAGAAGTGCTGCATAGTCTGAAGTGCCATCTTTCAGATGAGAAAGTAAACCAAGGCCCTGACTGCTCTTTCAGACGGATGGAAATAATGTAGAAACATCGAAACTAGGTGCAGGAGTAGGCCATTCAGCCCTTCAAGCCTGCACTACCATTCAATATGATCATGACTAATCATGCAATTTTATATTCCATTCCCATGCGCTGTCCATAGCCCTTGATCCCTTTCGCTGCAAGGTGCACATCCAGCTCCCCCTTGACTCTGACTTCCCTTTTACCACCCCCTCACCATGCAATGCCCATTCCCCCCTCTCTCATCTTTAGTGTAGTGAATCCCTGCTGTTCCTGGGCCTCTTTGAGGTGCATTATCAGCAGCTGCCACTTCTCCTGATGAGCACTGACGAGCAACAAATTCCAGAGAAGGCCGGGTCTGGCCACTTAAATGCCGAAAGGGATCCCAGTCCATAAAGAGTCTAACGAACTGGCCCCAACAGCTTTCTGTGGGAGAGAATTCAGCAGGTTTACAACTCTCTGAGTGAAGAAATTCTACCTCACTCTCAGTCTTGAATGGGTCACCCCTTGTTCATAGACTTGTGATCTTTAGTTCTGGATGACCCCAGAACTGGCAACATTCTTCCTGCATCTAGCCTGTTCAGTCCCATCAGGATTTCGTATGTTTCAATAAGATCCCCTCCGCCACCCCATTCTTGTAAATTCTAGTGAATTGGCATGAGTTTGTAAAAGAACCAGGGAGTTCTACCGTTGTCTTGGCCAATATTTATTCCTCAACCAAAATTTAGAACGAGATTATTTGGCTGTTATGTTATTGCTGTTTATTGAGAACTTGCTGTGCTCAAATTGTTTGAAGCTTGTCCTACAATAGTTCCAACACTCGAAAACTTCTTAGTTGGCTGTAAATACCTTTTGGACAGTCTTGAGATCAAAAAAGGTGCAAGGTTGAGGCAGCTTTTTTCTTTACAAAAATGCATACTCCAATAATACTGATTACTTTTAGGACAAGTTGTGAAATGTTATCGGGAATGTTGTGTGTGGGAGGCATTGGTGGAAGGCTTTCAAAGCTGACCCAAAGAGACTCTGGAGACATTCTGACATTTATTTGGGCCAGTTTATTTAGCCATGGGCCCAGAACAAGTTTGATTTTGGAAAGAGCAGTCCTCTTAAAATTGAATACGTTGGAAGTGATCCTTTTTGAAAAAACATTGAGTATTAAACTCAAGCATTGCCATGGAAACACAGCTCACTGATTGTTGCTTTTCAAGTTCTTTTCTCCGTAATGATTGTGAAAAAACATTATTTTTGAAAAGATGCTCATCACGGCTGAAAATGTATATGTTCATGGGAGAGGCCATGTGTAAGTCTCCCTGTGGCAATTTAAGGCACAGGGAGGAAGGGACTGGTGTA